GATCGTCCTTGAGGCGATAATCAGTTCTAATGAACAGCCTATCAAGTAAATTGAATTATAACATGGCTGGAATATAATCAAATTCAATAGCGCGAGCGTACTTCATACTCCCATTGAGCACGCGGATGACGTCAATAAACTATACCTCTAGTTCTTGTGAGCTTAGCAATCCCTCCAAGACGTCTCCCAACTCAAGAGGCTGCGCCTCGAGCAACTCTTACGTCTCTTTCGTGCTCTCCAAATTTCCCGTATGCACAATATCTCGACATACGCACGCTGACGCATGAACTAATTGTTAAGAAAATTTGAATCCCATGCTGATTGTTTCAATGATGAACTGGCCATTGAAAGGAAAAAGCAGTAAATGGTCGGTTACGTTTTAGCAAGTGTACCGTTTTTCAGGTAAGCTGAAATTACAAAAAGCAATTTGTGCTAGGGTCTAAATGCGGTAAGCGGCTGGCACCCTATCCCTAATGTCACCCTAATTGGTCGCAGGAAACAATGACATGTCATTCTTCCAATTGTTTTAGTATTGTTTGGGGTCAGGGAAACGCGCCATTGGTGACTTTTCTTCCGAGCAGCTGCTACATGAACCCTAATATCCAGTCATTAAGATGGGTCCGCCCAATCCCAATAAGGTCATACCCGCTATGAAGAGAATTAACCTGTCTTGCGATTCAAAATCGTCCAATCGCACGCTTTACCAACTGCTCCCCAGTCAATTTCTAGAGACCAATTTTTCTGCGTGCTATTATGGATGCGTGGCTTACACTCATGCAAGGCTCGTAAAAGACTATAATATCTAAACTGTAACTCTATACAGGGTATTTCAAAAGTTTCGTTCCGATTTTTTCTTCGCTTAAATTTCACCTGATTATTGAGAATACTTTTTGTAAAACTAAGTATGTTTTTCATTATTCATTTAACTTTGACTAACTAAAATATTAGTAACCAGAATGTCTTTCTTCATGATCTCTGACATTTTCTAATCGGTGAGGTATAGAATGTACCAGCTACCAAAGCGTGTCTAAATTCACATTTTTCCAGGCGAAGCGTAGTCGCTGTCTTACCTCGTCCACTTATTTTTTTTTTTTTGCTGGGGAGGTTGGGGGCTCGATCTTTGTATGTTGTCTCACCAACGATAATCCAGATGGTCTCTAGAGGATTCGCATCACGTGACTTTGCCAGCCGGTCGTCCTTTGGTATAAAGTTTACAAAATCTTCTGATACCATGCCACCAAGAAGTGTTCACCACCTTTTTTCTCTTCAAGGCTTTCCAACCTTTGTTGGTCACATATCTCCATACAGTTGTGCTCGAAACTTTGATATTGTGAAGCTGAAGTTTTACTTTTCTGTCTTGTTGGATTATTACGTATAAACTTACAGCTTTTTTGATAACATTCCTCACACACTTTGTTAAAAAAAACGGCCATTCACTCCTTGGTTTGTCTTCTAAGGTCTTTACTTTTGGCCACTTGTTCACTCATAGTTCAGACTTCTTCAACAATATGGCAATTTCTTTGACTGAATGGCCAGAATATCGTAAAAATAGATGCCTGAGCCCTAGCACAAACAGTGTAGGCCTTTAGTTTCGTAACAAAAGAAAACGGCAAAAACACGAAAATAGAAACCCTACAAAATGGGCAGGGAAAATATGGTAGTAAAAAACTCGCGTACGTGCACATTTAAGCCAAAAATTAAAAACTATAATATCTTCTTCAGATTTTAGTTTAAAATTGCTTTGAACGGTAATTTAGATAAATTTCGTACCTGAATCAGTTTACATTTGCCTGAAGAAGCATTAAATACTTCGCGGAAAATACAATTTACAATCGGAACGAACTTTTGAAACACCCTGTAGTTTTTGATTTTCAACCATTGCTCCAATCTCAAGAAGTTAATTACTAGGTTTTTTAATACTGAAGATAACTTTCATGTTTATTTTCCTTGTTTTGACATAAGTAAAGAAAATAATGATTTCAATCTATTTTGCTAGTTGAATATTGATCCTTGTAACACTTGCGAAAGCCAGTCTTGGGAATGAACTATAACATCAGCCTATGGTTCAATCTGTTTGCACAGGAAAACAACATCCTGGTAAAAGCATTTTTTTGTTGGGTAATCCATCATCCCCTTCCATACTGAATCAAAGGTCCCAGGTTAGAAAAAATTTAGGTGATTACCTTTCAAAAGAATAGGCGAATCCTTGTTTACATTTTTTGCCTCAATAACATATATTATCTCAGTGATAAAGCTAATAAAATAAAACGTCTGCATATTGGAAGAGCAGAATAATTTAAGTTATCTCTGAAAATTTGAGCCCAATAAACCGAACAGTTTTGCAGAAATTCTCTTCCAAAAACTCGAAAGTTTACAAAGAATGTATGAGCTCATTAGCGTTTTCACTACCCAGCAATTTCGCAGTTTTTGATCGCTGAAAATTACACAAACTATTCAAATTAACGGCAGCTCTTTCAATTTTTGAACCTAATTTGTGTAATTTTGTATAAGGTGACGTATTCTATGGGTTAACTTGAATGCTAATGAGCAAAAATGCCCGAAACAATGACGTCAGCAAGAATTCCCCTATGCTTTGAATGAACTTGCTAAAGGCCAGGGGCACCCAACACTTTCTTCTGTAAAATAACTGTTAGGGATCTCCAATGAAAGCTCGAGAAAGGCCAAAATAGCTAAGATATTCAGTCTTTTCCTATTGAGTTACCTACGATTTTCGGTGGTTGTGTTTTTCACATATTAAATATGTGAAAATATTTTATGACCAAAATTTGCGATTTGGTTGTTAAAAAAATGGTCCCCTGAAAATTTCGGTATAATTTAAGACAAAACGTCCCCTCCATGTTCTCGAACGGTCGATCGGACCCATCAGGATCCATCAGGGTAGCTAAAAGTTTGAGATGAGAGGAAAAAGCCATGCACCTAAAACTTTTGAGACGGCCAAAGTTCCCCAAAGACATCCAAACAGATAAATACTTTTTAGGGCAGCTCCAAATTAGCAAACATTGTTCTAAGACCTAATATATAGAGATAACCATTCGAGCCCACTTCGGACGTATTTGGAAACGTTCGTTCTTTGGGTGCCCCTAAAGTCTCATTTCTTGTGGTTCTTTGCACGGATCTTGGAATAAAAACTTGACCCGTATGGGTTACTCTTGGCCGGGTCAAGGTAAAATTATTGCCACAATCCTCCTTTGGACTGGTTGATAAGCAATTTTAATCTCTGCATCGAATGCAGGCGTGGATTAGTTACAAAATCTGCAAATCTTTATTACTCCGTTTACTATCCCTTCAGTCTTAGACGCTTAGTTCTACAGAAATGAGGCCTTTAACTTTTACCATCTCAGTCGTTTTGGCACCGATTGTGGTGGAAACAGCGACAGCACACAAAAAAAAGGCAGTTGGATTCCAAAGGGGTATTCTATGTAATAACAACAACACCTTGTGAGCTTGTCCGAATAAAAAGCTTAAGGATATGATCAAAAAAGGAAAACTAGACGACATTAAAACCTAGGCCGGGTTGTTCAAAGCTGGGTTAAGATAACCCTGGGTTAGTGTGAAATCTAAATTCAGATATGAAAGCTTAAAAAGTAAATTTGGTTTTTCATTGTTTCCTTAGCATCTTTTTGTAAACACATCAATTTTTCTATCACGAATACCTCGATTTATACGGGTTACAAGGAAAACTGAAATCATTCTATCAATTCAAAATGAAGACCCAAGATGGCTGATGGTTCCATTGTAGCTCCTTCTTTAACATTAAATGACGTCATAATGACATCCATGCTACTGTTAAAGATTATTAAAAATGTGTTTGCCAACTTCTTTGTTTTGTCAGACACCTTACTATTTAATTATTTTTCTTTTCAATTACTACATGTATTCAAAATGATGAGTACATTATTCTGTGCAAATTTGGTGGCCGTAACGATCGTGAGCGGTTTCTAAATTGTAGAGCGGGAAGCTCCCCTCCCCCACCCGTCGTAGGAAACAATTTCAGAAAAAGCCGGTCTGAATAGGGTTAATCTAGCTAATTTATTTCTTTCGAAGTATCATCTACAGGTACTTTCGTGTCACAGCAGTGTATTGATGGAAAGTTCACTGTATTTCAGCAGGCTCTTTGTTAACTCATATGCAAAATTAAACCACTCAAAGTCGTAAGATATGAATAATTGTCAACAAGCCGACTACTAAGGGAGCTTAACTAAATTGGAACAGGAACTAACCAACGCAAATTTGGGTATAAGAGACATATTCGGGGACTCGGTACATTTCGAAACCCTAAGTACTTCTTGTCAAATTGAGAACAAAGCCTCAGGGGATGTCTGGGAACAAGGAGGGAGTTGAAATGGGAGGAGGAAACGTCAAATTCGAGTTTGTCCGGCGGCAACATACATCCCGTGTAATCCAGCCCCATTCATAGATTGCGTATTGCCTTTTCAAAACCTAAAAACAGCATTTCAAGGTGCGACCATTTTAGTCGCAAAGAGGAGTAGGAAAAAACAATTGGCCACTAAAATTGCGGTGAAAGTAGCTAATTTGGCACCTGTGTTTGGCGGTCATGCGCCAAGCCGTTATGTTTTTATTACTTATGTCAATGATCAACATGTACAGAGTGTGATCTTTCTACAATTTTTAAAAGGTAAAGGGAGACAACATTTGAGATTAATGCACGAAATGTTATTTACGCTCTATTTTCTTAATCGTGTTTACCTCCAAAATGCAATATAGTGCGATTTTTTTTCTTGTCACCTATATATTATGTCTGGCGACCATCTGCTTAAGTTTAGGTCGCCAATTAAAAAAAGGCGACTTTGAGGAACGTTGAGCTCCGCGCACACTAACACACTAAACCACGTTTGAGAACTAATGAAAAAACAGTTATTAATAAGTCGTATCTCTTCTGAATTAAATCGTCAATCTGTGCTCAAATTAACATAAACGTTTGGCAAACGTGCTCATCCGGTCAAAGTGAACCTTGAGAGTTACACACCATACTTAAATTGAACTTTCTCCATTCTGACTTTGGCATTGTGAGCCTTGAGAACAGACACAGCTTCCTGAGTTTTGGCATACAGGGCCTCACGGCATTCCAGCATGTGCAGCAGCTCAGTATTGTCAATCTCCAGCAGCATACCGGTTATCTTCCCAGCCTGATCAGGGTGGGTGGCTTGAATCAAGGAGAACAGACGCTCACCTAGCATTTGTTTCTGCTCTGAACGGGAGACTGAAGCAAGTACACTTCGGTAGAGTGGCTTTTGTCCCTTCATTAAAGACATGCAGATATAAAAAAAAATGCGTTACCAATTTTCGCAAAACAATACAAGATCAAAACAAAGGAAATGAGAAATACTTTTTTGAAGGACCCTAAAATGTACAGACTGAAAGCTTCACAATTACAGGGTGTTTCAAAAGTTCGTTCCGATTTTTTGTGCGCTTAAATTTTACTAATTATTAAAAAAAATAAAACTTAGCATGTTATTCATTATTAATTTAACATTGAATAACTAAAATATTAGTAACCAGAATGTCTTCTTGTATTTTTTTCTGACATTTTCTAAGCGGTGAGATATAGAATGTACAAGCTCCCAAAGCGTGTCCAAAGTCACATTCTTCGAGGCGAAGCGTACTCATTGTCTTAGCTCGTCCAGTGTTTTGGGGGCTGGATCTTTGAGTGTTGTCTCGTCTGCGATAATCCAGATGGTCTCTAGGGGGTTCACATCATGTGAGTTTGCCGGCCGGTCCTCCTTTGGTATAAAGTTGGCAAATCCGTCTGACACATGCTTGCATGAAGTGTGCACCGCCTTTTTCTCTTCAAGGCTTTCCAACGTTTTTTGGTAACTTATAGAGACCATCCAGGATTGTCGAATTTCGGTTCCAAGATCAAGATCGACTTTTTACTTGAACATGAGTAAAACTACCGAAACCATTAGAATTTGCATAATTTCGTCAAATTTTAGTTTGAAATTGCTTTGAACGGTTATTTAGATAAATTTCTTACCTGAATCAGTTTACATTTGCCTGAAGAAGCATCAAATGCTTTGGGCAAAATACAATTTACAATCGGAACGAACTTTTGAAACACCTTGTAGATACCTTTACTGAGAATTAACATCCAACAAAGTCGTAAAATCAATGGTTCTTGTATTATAGAAGATTCCAAACTTTTGAAATACAGTGGAACCGAAAAATAACAAATTCCCTCAAAAGTACTGTGTTTCCACTCATGCAGTTTTGTTTAGTATTTGCTGTGTTATTTATATGTTCCTCCACTGCTTTAAGAGTTTATTTTTATATTTCATTCAATTATTTGTCGGAGAGTAAGTGAAGGCTGAATTTGGCTGAATGATGTCAACATTTTTTTTAACTTACTGGTATGCAAATGGGCGGTTCAAAACGTTCTTGTTGCTGCATTGGCGCTGTACTTGGATGTGGCTGTGGCTGCCGAGACTTGTACGATGGTCTATGTGGCAGTTGCTCCTGCTGACCAGGCATTTGTCTGGGAGGCACCTGATGGATGCCTTTTGCACGTGGAATCTGCCCATCCCCTGAAACTTGCATTGCTGAAGGTCTCATCTGCTGCAGCTGCTGCATAGGCTGCCAGAGAGGTCGCATTTGTTGCATGAAGAATACAGGCTGGCCTGGCTGGAAAGGACGAGTCATGAAAGCTTATTGAGCAAAACAAAACTCTATCGGTCTGGGCTAAAACGCTCAATGCACTTAAACATCGCTACGCATTCAGGTTCTTATTCGGGATTAAGTAACTTAAAAGACTCCTACATTTTAGTTCATACTTGGACTCTCTGTCACCATATTCCCCGCGGGGTATTCTTGAACAAAACCCAACAAGTATGTGCGCCCGTCCAGTGGTGTCTAGCCAGTTCCAGGCTCTCAGATATTTTAGTGCGGTGGTATTAAAACGAGCAAAGCGAAAATAAGACGCACGCGACTTGGGAAAGGGGGCGGTCTCTCCCCAGCTCCCGTGCGTTTTTCGCATTCCTTTTTACTGAATGACTTTTCACCACTATCTCGGAGCCTGGAACAGGCTAAGCGAAAATAAGACGCGCACGACTTGGGAAAGGGGGCGGTGGGGGCGGGAAAAATGGGAGAGAGAGCCTGTTAGCATTTCTTTTACGACCCTCTTCCGCCCATTTTTGTCACGTCTGGATTCGGCTGTCAAAACTGTTAACACTTCAGTTAGCTACAATCATTCTCAAGTTTCTCGCGTAAGCATTGCACGCGACGCGAACTCCTTGTGCGATGTGTGGAAATTTATGTCTTCGAATTCGTTATCCTGTGAGAGCATCCGTTTCTTTGGCTGTGGTTTATAGCAATAAAAGGGGGCTGTAAGTTTTTTCCTCTGTTGGGTAGGTTATGCTCTGGAAGGTTCTACATTGTCACTGAGCAAATGTGACTTTAGCCGCTTGTTTCACACTGAGAGGTCATGGCACACATATCGATTTACTGTGGCGTTTGTTTCTGGTCGGCAGGATTTGCCCTCTGATGAGAGAGCATTTTCTTTGACCTCTAATTTCAAGCGTAAAGCTTTTTATTGCGACTGAATAAGGGTTTACCGGAAACCGCGCTAGAAAAGTCTCTGGCACCCAGGGTACAGCTCGTTAGTTTACTTTGCAGAATGTTAAATTATGACGGATAGTGATTTACAGATCCAGAATTATATATGAAGTGCAGCTTAAACTTAAGGTACATCAACTAAGGAGAATTGCATTGTGACTCAGTAAACTCCAGCTTAATAGTGTTTCTCTTAAAATAGTGTGAGTCTTTTGACTGGGGCGCGTAGTTTCTCCCTTGGTAATAGCGGAATAAGGTTAACAGTCTTTGGGCTGTTTTGTTATTGCCACTTTGTGATCAACCAAGACTTGGGATTACCGTAAACAATTTCGCACTTTCCTTCTCTGGCTTTCCTCTCGTCCTCCTCTCCCTCTTAACCGATGCCAAATAGCTGCGGCCGAAAGTCCAAGCTTTTGCAGTTGTTCCACTTGGTCTCGCATTATAGATATCAGCGACCAAACGACTATTATCGCAGAGTTTTCTAAAGTAAGAGCAGCTTTAGCCAAGCGTGGAAATAGCTGAAAGATTAAACTTTTGCCGAAACCGGTGGGCATAATACCGAAAACATCTCTACCGCGAGCCAAGTCGCAGACACTCGTCTAAAGCACAAGACAAAGCGGATTCATGAAGATCACACGCGTGATTCGCGTTAGCCATCTTGATGATGACAAACTGGTGACCACGCTACTAGGTGATGATGTTAACTGTCACAATTGACCAATCAGAGGGTATATCAGAAGCTGATATACCGGAACAGGCCATTAAAAAAATGCGTACAGGCTCCGCCGCCCTGTCTCTCCCCAGCCCCCGCACATTTTTCGCATTTCTTTTTTCTGAACGACTTTCCACCACTATCTCGGAGCCTGGAACAGCCTAAGTGGTGTCATGACTAGAGATCTGATCCCAGTCGTTCATGAGAAGGTGGATAACGTTATGTACTATCTCTATCCAGTGGATAACGAAATTGGTTTCTCTAGAAATTATTTACTGGATAGTGATTTTTGCGGTCGATACTGCTATCCAACATTTGAATAAGCTGGGCCAGGAAGATAATACACTTTTGGTGGAAATTCAACACACAAAGTCAGATAAATATTTCGCTGTTTCCGGTTGGCTCCAATCCCCCACAGGCTAATTCCAAATAACTTGCTGTGGCTTACCATATTTGGAGGATACGAGCAATATACTATCGATTCGATGGTATATTGCCTAGCAGCCTAGTTTCTAGACAATATCCGCTTACGTTATGCAGAGCTTGGCAGCCCCCTAACTGTTTAGACCTGAGTTAAGGTATCATCCAGGGTAAAAAAATCATTATTTTTCGAAATTTTCCATTTTTAAATGTTTAAGTGGACCTCATAACTATTGTACTGATGTTTAAGTGGAGCTCATCAAGAGCTTTCTTTTAAAAAAATTCCAGAAAATTTTTTTTTTCTGTGCAGACTTATGGGGCACAAACTTTTTTTCTATGCTAATTATTTAAATTGATCGTTGACAAGTCCCGTCATACTTGATACGCATGCCGCTTTTGAACCAAGCTAATCACGCGATTTGACAGAAATCGTGGTCGACAAGTATAGTGCTCACTGGTTTTCCCTGGATTTTGGAAGTGAATGCCTCCAAAAAAAAAAAAAAGAGCTTGTCCGTTTTCGTCCTTGACTCCAAGACGAAAGAAGACGACAAAATCGTCTTACGAAGTGTGGGATTCGAAATTAGCAGAGAGCAAAAAGGGCACCTACTACAATCAAGAAAAATGGCTAAATGATGACAAACCTTCTGAAAAAATCATTGAAACTACCGCGAAATCGAGGTTCACGAGTTTCTTAGCGAGCGGAGCGAGCTTTTTAGGCCTCGAAGCAGCCAAGCGAGCCACAAATTCGCGACAGGTCCCGCGCAATATAGTTAATTGGACGAAGGACTTTTTTTGAAAGTCTATTGTAGAGGGAGAGCAGCTTCAAGAAAAACTCCAGGAAGCGGTTTGTTGTCGATTTTTCCAGGGAATTGTCGAACTTTTAGAAAATGTATCGAGTAAAAGTTGGCTTGGCTCAAAATGAAAACTGCCCGTCGCAAATAACTAAAGATGCTTTATCGACAACAGAAGGATCGAACAGATCAGAGCCTTTGAAATAAATTGTTCATCTGTTGTCAGGTTTCGTTTGTAACCTTTTCCTGCTGTGTCACTATTGTTGTCCCTTTTCTGGTATGAATCAACGTTGACAGCTTTGGTGTTATAATCTGTTATAATCTCGTCACGGGTAATACGCCGTCAAAAATCTTTTTCCCTAGCCTGCGTTGCAGCCGGCCCACGCACTCGTCTAAGCCATTTGTATAGTCCTTCTGCGAATTAGTGCACAAAAGCTCGTTCTAATATCCTGCAGAGTCGCAAGGATATATGTGAGCGTTTCTGATAGGCGGGTTTCTTATGAGCCTCACGATTGGCCTAATTTTAGTTTTTTGTGAGTGACGGTTGGGCGCAGTGACATGTCAAGATTCACAGAAGGGATTTGGCAAGGATCGTTTACAGTAAACAATAAAAGAGCAGTGCGAACTTTAAAGCCGTCTTCTGAACAAAAAAAATGCTTTGAGAAACTAGCCAATCAAAAACGGCGACATATGCCCTTGCCATTCTACGGGATTCGAACACGATCTTGTGCACTAATTCGCAGGCGCTCTATACAGAAGGTTTAAAGTGTCTGTGACGTAGGCAACTTCCCCCCCTGTTTTCTCGAAATGAAAATCAGGGCAAGTTGAGGGTACGTTTTAAACTCCAAACCAATTTGACTGAAATTTGGCCAACTTACCGTCAGATAGTTTTTCTAAAAAAACCGTGTCTGCGAATTTTTGATTCCTTTTTTCGTTTTCGAGTAAGAGTATTTTTTCAAAGGTAGTGCTGATGATTTGTTATCCCTAACTTCAACTGCTTATAACAAAAGAACAAACTCACTTGACAAAAATCTGACACACGGTTTTTAAGTCAAACGTGTTAAGAAGCGAATGCAATCTTAATTGGCTTCTTCCGTTTAGTTTTGGCTGGCCTCGACTTAAATTTACAGTGACACCCACTTCCACAAAAAGCTTTTCATTTCTGAATCGCATTAATATTTTGATTTTTTAAAAGGAATAAGCAATAATCTGGAACTATTAAGCTTTCAGAAAATGTACGGTTTATGGGGGTATTTATTAAAAGCAAAAGCGCTAGCGCCGATCAACGCGGGGAGGGTGCTTGAGGGTGGATGATACCTTAACTAAACAAACATGACTGAAATTGAACGGAACAAACAAACTTTTTCGTTTGAAATTATTTAATGGTAAGTATCTCCGAAGTTTCCTTACAACTGAAGTTATAATTCTTCTATGCGTCAAGACCTTAAGTACTGATGTAACATCAACAACAGCAACCAGGTCCTGGTTCAGAATGGCTTGCAAGTCCTTGGGGGAGTAATTAGTTTTCAAAACCATTAGAAGAAATGTGCAAAGAAGAGCTAAATGCGTGTTTGAAGGGCTTAGTCTACCAGAAAGAAGTAATTTTTACAAAGGTACCTCCATGAAATCTATAAGAGACGCCATTGACCGCTTTCTCCGCTCTCCACCGCAAAATATGCCCTTCTGCATAATCGCTGATCCCGCTGTTACACAAGCAAATGAAGTGTTAGACGCCGGCGTTCGTGAAAGAAAGAAAGACGGGAAAAATTGCCGGCGTCGTTCACAATAAAACAATTTTAAAAGAGCAGATGAAGAAACTCTTCGACAGCGGCGAACTCGGACCGGCCGACAACTTGAGCCCCGCACAACTACAGAGTACGGCCTGGCTGTACCTCGGCCTCTTTTTTGTACGAAGAAGGGGACGTGAAAATCAACGGCAGCTAAAGCCGACAATGCTTTCCCTACGAAAATCTTCTAAAGGAGTCCAGTACTATGAACTGAACCGGAAGTCAGCCTGGTTCTCTATCGGCCACAAAAAAACACCAGCGCGGCCTCGCAGATGCTGAAGATGAATCTGACGCCCATATATTTTCCGTAACTGTCTCTGAAAAGTGTCCAGGAAAAACAATAAAGAATAACGTGAGCCATCGCAATCCGACTTCAGATGCTCTTTTTCGGAGATCTAGAGATAGTGATAGCGCAAAGTTCAAGTCCTCAGCATCTTGTTGAATTGAGGTAAAGATTTGCACTGCTTTGCTGAGTCCGGGAGCTCATTTTAGGACCTTGCTCCCTGGAACATTATTGATCTTTTTCTAAATTCAGTTCGCACAGCCGGAAGTACAAAATTAAGTTCAATTCAGAGCTCCTCGTTTTATAATTATGGCTGACTCGCTGTGCAAGAGATGAAAGTTCTATATGTGCAAGTTCCCTCAAACACTTGAAAATGAAGGTGCACAGATGTAGTTACCACCAACAAAGTAGTTTAGTCCAGCCAAGCTGTGACACGGGGTCATTGCTTGATCCTTCTCTTAGCACAACCCTAGCAGCACTCGTTTGAAGCCTCAAGTTGCTCCGCCAGGGTAGATCCCACACTGCTCCAGCATATATCCCAATAATCCAAGATTGGGAAAATAAAGGCTTTATAGATGGTATTAGATACAGATGATGTTAGGTGGGGTCTTACCCTGCCGAGTGCACCCAGCTGCTATGAGAACTACTTTGCCATCTTATTGACATGTTCCTCTAAAGTTAGACCACTGTCGAGGTGAACGCCCAGGTACTTGTTCGTGGATACTTACTTTACTGTCTTATTTCCAATCCTGATGGTTGAACTTGGGGCTCGAGCTAACCTTTGGTGAGTTCCAAAAAGCATACATACTGGTTTGGCCGGGAATTATCATCTTGTTGGATTGAAGCCACCAGAGGACGTTTTCAAATTCATAATTGAGCAAATCTTCAATGTAGTTGGACCGGATGTAAAAACAACTGAATCGTCGGCGTACATAAAGGTGGAGGCTCTTTGGAGAACACTTTGCATATCATTCACATAAAGGATAAATAGAGAGGGCCTAAAATGCTTCCCTGCGAACTCCCCCTCTAATCACGACATTCTGGGGCGGGGATATTACACTTTTAAAGAACACGAATTGTTGCCCTGCTGTTAGATAACTAGTAAACAATTGTGACCCTTTATCCTGCATCCAATAAATTCTGTATGGATTCAAAATTGAATCCAAAAAAGGGCACTTAAAATAATTTTTCCGTGTGCTGATGGCTACTCAGATGCCCTCGAGTTAGCACGGGTGGAAACCCCAGCGTGCAGGAGAGATAAGATATGTGAGGAGTATATGTGCAAAATGAAGGACTTAACACACTCTTCATCCTCCTCTACCAACACTGCGCCTAGACGATACCTGCCCCTACACCCTAAGGCGCAAAATCAGGCCAGCTGTACTTCTATAAAAACGTTACTAACTGTAGAACGGAGCTCGCTGAAGACTTTTTCACTTTTATCTTTTAATCTAGTTTTTCTAACTTTTAAACTCTGTGAATGCAAATGATGGCAAAGATTATCGGCGGGATTTTTTGATGAAAGCAAAGATGGGGAAAGGCTGTGTATACCCTTTCCCTTTTGTAAGATATAAAAATAATTGAATTTACGCACTTGATATTTGTAACGCCCGATGATATTTGCCATCATTTGCATTCACAGAGTTTAAAAATAACGCCCAAAACGGTAACTCAAACCTAACTCATCACAGCTCAAACGCAACCCTAACCTGCGATCAGACGAAAAAACCTGATCGCAAGTTAACTCAACTCAGACTCGTAACTCGATCGTTATCCTATGTCCTCATGGAATAAATAATAAAAATTAAATAGTATCGGCCATGGATATGCAAGCTATGTTACTTATTTACTACAGTACAGAACTGACAAACTTTATTACTACGACGATTTTACCTGAACTAATGGCTGCATGTAAAATGTTCCCGCTGGAGGGCATACTTGATAAACTTGTAGACCATCTTCCTAAAAAATAAGAAAATACAAGCATCTATATAAAAAAACCTGATCGCAAGTGAACTCAACTCAGACTCGTAACTCGATCGTTATCCTATGTCCTCATGGAGTAAATAATAAAAATTAAATAGTATCAGCCGTGGATATGCTGGGTATGTTACTTATTTACGACAGTACAGAACTGACAAACTTTATTACTACGACGATTTTACCTGAACTAATGGCTGCATGTAAAACGTTCCCGCTGGAGGGCATACTTGATAAACTTGTAGACCATCTTCCTAAAAAATAAGGAAATACAAGCATCTATATAAGGCCTAATCAATCAAGCAGAGAAGAAACGTTTTACGCCTGGCTCAAAATAAACTAAAATGCTCAAACGACATACTTTTTATTTGAATTAGTATTATTTTTCAACACAAGGTAAAAATCACCCAATAAAATGTTTTAGCGTCTGAACAACTACGCATAACATACCTTCACACAATTTAACACGAGCGAAATTTCATCAAATAACTCACGGGATAGACCTAAGTACCTTTGATGCAATGATTGAACACAGTTTTGAAAGGAACTCTATGGCTGAGTGTCCGCTCTTCTTTGCTTCAAGCTCATTAGAGTCCATAACTAGATTATGAGCAAGATCTGTTGCCATTTGCGATACTTGCAGACCAGATGCAGGGACAGCGGTGATAACATGCTCCAGAATCTTCTGAAGTATGCTGTGATATATAAACAAAAAAATACACAGAAGAATAGTAAACACCATGACCATTGCCTGACATCCTGTATAACAGTGAGAATTATAACTGGCTTATTTTTTTTATAATTTCCAACGTCTCTCAAGAGGGCGTTGTTGGTCAACATGCGCTTATGTCTACTCCTCTTTTGCTACTACTAAAACAGTGGATGCCTTGAATCAGGGGGCTGATAACTGGTTTGGGAGATTGCCAGGAATACAGTTCTAGTATTTGGTCCGGAGTTGGGTGACTTCCACCCCAATTCCATCTAACAGAGCAGTTAAAAGCATTTGTGTCAGCCCTCCAAGTTTATAACAAGTCATGCCGCTTCAGTCTAGTACAGTTCTCGTCCACAGCACAGAGGGAAAAGCCCGCAATTTCGTAACGGCACTCTCTTTCGAAAAGGCAAGAAATTATTGTAATGTTAACACATTGGACACATTTTCATCCATGGCAACATGCTAGCCTAGCTTAGCCTAAAGCCGAAGTGACAACAGTTATCGCACAGTCATTGTCGTTATCCTATTAGCCTCTGTCAGTAAGGTATTTAACAGCACTCTTACCAAACCGAGTTCACAAACTACATCCGGTTAACATTAGCTGTTAGATAAAGTATAAAGAACTGTATTTTGTAGGTTCCCCTTTGTGTTTGGGGTGCCAGTTGTCTGTGTGCTGGAATTTGTTGAACATTTTTGTTAAATATGTCGAATGGCGTATTTAAACATGATTCAAGAAGGCATGTTACACTTGATCAACAAATTCTTGTTTAGGTGTATGTCACCGGCTTAAGAATCAGGTTAAGCTAACCCTAATAGTTAAATACAGTGTTAACCTGAGAACTTACATTATCTATTACATTCACAACTACAATTACCTGATATGACTTTTTACATCCTCAACAGTCAATTCATTGATGAAATTGGGAAGCACCGATCTGAACAACATGCTCTGCTGGAATCCTTGAACTATTGCAATGACAGTAGGTGACATTGGTACAACAGAACAAACCTTGTTGATGATTTCTAAAATCTGAAGGATGATTTCATTTGTTAATTTGTCCTTGGAAAGATTAAGGATGTATTCCCAGAATGTAGAAAACCTGAAAAACAAATTCATTCAAAGCAGTAAACACAGATACAAAGGTGACATCTATCTACTTCAAAGAAAACCCAAGTGTAACTCATAAGGATGTGAAGTATCAGTAAAGATAAAATACTGACAAACAAATGAAGAAAATAAATATCTTACTTTTTGTGATTTATGGGCCAGATTTAATAAAAAGCAAAACGGGAGATCGCCTCCATGACTTTGTGTTGAACAAGACAACGAGGTAAATTTTGTCCTAGCCAAAGTTAAAATTGATTTGAAAGCGGACTTTCGATTATTGTTTTCCTTTTCAAACTGCCAGCGAACGGCAGTAGTAAAACCTACTTGTAGAGTAACGTTTACACTGAGCAGTCGTATTTATCTGGCAAAAGGAGGGTTCAGTGTCTTTTCGAGTAATTTGATGAAAATGTGTAATGACTTATGCGTAATTATCTGGGGTTTATTAGGACCACGGAAGCTTCTTATTGCTGATTTCGGCGGCCATATTGTGGGGATCAATGTGTGCCAGTGGGTTGTAATTTGCAATTACATTCAGCAACTGCATTCGCAATCACTAGTCAATTTTAGATCTTTTTCCCTTTCTACTGAAAATGTTGATTGAGTTATTAGCTTCTCTCATTTTTTCTTTTGCAAATAAAGGTCATGATGTTTTTAACCCTTTTTAAAGTCCCAAGAGTGACCAACAGCAATTTTCTTCTAACAATTTCAATATGTAATTTTAAAAAAGCGTTTATGAGAACAAATAAAATGACCACCTAAGGGAAAATTCTCTCAACTAATCCTGTGAGGAAATGTATAGAGATCAGTTTGAGAATTTGTTTGTGGATAATGGGGCATGAAGGATTAAGGGGGTGCGCCTCTTGTCTTTCCATAACATTATGTTTACATATGCACGTGAATAAGGCAAAATTTTAGTTACGAAACAGTTCTCCAGGTGGGCTCGGTTCCTCGAAAGATGGTTAAGCTTAACCCAGGATTAAGCAAAATTTCAAGCACGTTTTTCTCGTCTATATAAGAACATGCAACTCGAGGTTACAAAATACCGTTGATCCTTTACTACGAGATATAGTAATGATAACACGGCAAAATGTCACCCTAAGCAATGCGTAGGAATGTAAAATACAAAAACGGAACAAAATTTTAATCCTGGATTAACGCTAGCCGGCCTTTCAGAAACTGGGCCCAGGGTATTATCATCTCACAAATACAAAACATGCAAGCTAAAGAGGTTTATTGCACGTACTTTCTTCGTCCCGCACTGCTCCTGTACATGTTGTACACCGAAGTCACGTTTGAGTATAAAAAACTGAAAACGTCACGAGGGATACAATCCACTTAGAAGACCGTTTTCACTCGTTTCAGGTCTCCTACGTGTGAGTATGTTAAAATGCTAATGCAATAATTATAATTATGTATAAATATTATAGATACCTTGTAATTTCAATCGCAGTTGCAGATGAACCATTGTTTTTTGCATAGTTTGATAAATGTCTCAGAAATGACTCAATTTTAGTATCACTTAAGCAACACCTTTGAAAAGAAATGGAAGGAGTAAAAAGAAACGCTTATTGGACTGCAGCTACAACAGCGGAAGTGGTAGCGGTTACTCTCACAAAAATTCAAAAAGTACTCCTTTTATGGTAACAATTTTTCAAAGCAGAAGGTTAGCATTGTCAAACCAAACATCTCCAGCTTACAAATAACTGGTGATTCGTCCGCGCTCAGTACTGTATGCGATTCTCGGTAGCACTAATGGGCTGATTTAGCAACAGAACGGGAACGTCTGTTGACGACTGGAAAGCGCGCGGAGAGGACTAAACGCGACTTCCTGTGCCCAATTTTCCACTCTGCCATTGGTCAAGCCAGTTGTTTGATCACAGTGCGCGTGCCGTCGTTAACTGACTTTCCCGTTCTGTTGCTAAGTCAGCCTAATGATAATTACCAATTCACCGACTGCATGATGTCTCGACATCGTTCATTTTCAGTAAACAAGGGTAAATGTAAATTTACATGTAATCAAGATCAAACACAACTCTGCGCTATGTGGTTGAAATGAAAGTGAATAAGTAAATAATAATTGTTATTAAAAAATTGCATCTCCTTGTGTTTCCAAATATTCGGCGATTGCAGGAGCAGAACCCTGTGCAATATCAACCCTCATCAATCACTAACAAAAAATTAATCGTCTTTTGTGAGAGGACTTCTGGCTATATAGCCCTACCTGTTTGAAAATTGATCAATTTAGTATACCTACTTTTCTATATCCTGTTCCAGTGCGATTCCATCCTTCCTGCTACACTTTGTTACTTCCACAATATCTCCCACAGCCAGCTGAAGATGAAATCCTTCATGATCAGTATCATTTTCGTTGAGAAAGTTAACACTGAGTTCAGACAGCGAAAAACTGCCGGTATCCCCTTGTCTTCTGTGATCTTCCTTTACGCACGCGTTAGCTTTCTTATTAGATTTCCATGCCACAACACCTCGTACTCTGTGTTGTCTTCTTTGATCAAGGTCCAAATCAGAAAGATCTTCTTCACTCTCCGAGTCATCTGCAAATTGTTTGAGTTCAACAAAGAACTCTTTGGACTGAGAAACAGATGTAAGGCGTAAGCCCTCTGACTTCTTTTTTTCTATAAAACATTTAACCAATTTGTAGCGCAATTTGCATGTTGTGTCATGCTGTTCCAGTTTGTAGTCACGGTGTTCAAATTCGGATAGAACCGGCTTCGCATTTGTCAAAAAGCCATGAAAATCTTCCTCCAGCGTGCCAAATAAAGAAGGATTTGAGCAAATACCTGATTCTTGCATATATTTTACAAGTTTCTTAGCCCCATCTGAAGCCATTCTGAATTCGTATAGATATAATTCATTTACAGAATAAGCTAGAATAATAGGAATGTTAATAGCAACGTGACTAATACCTTTTCCTATGGGAGGGGGATGTGGTTTATTCCATGCACGTCGATTCAACAGTTCTGTTTGAGATTTTTTTCCAGAAAAAAGTTTTAAGGAACTTTTACTTTGCTATGTAAAAAATGTTTCTCTTGTCCATAAAAATAATAGTAATGATCGTCGCTCAAGGCAAGCCCAAAAATAATTTCTGCATCTCACCTCCGGTTGGTCGCCGATGACATGTTAATGAACCATCTTTTCCGAGAATTGTAAAAACCACAAATGTCAATTTCCGGAATCTCTCATTCCATAGACTACGGCGGCCGACAGTGGCCATTTAAAATCAAACCTGACGCAACCCTACGAACTAAGAAGTCGATTCAAAAAGCCTATTTTAAACCTGACAACTTCTATCCTTTTAGTTTGCACATTACTGTCAGTACCACTCTTTGTTTAAAGGACAGTAGACTAGACTTCGTGCTAAAGTTATCAACCTTCATAATTGATCCTATATGATGCTATCCGTGACGATACAGACATAATTGACTAACTGTGAATGAGGGCAATCTCTGACTTTTGCCACCGAACATAGGAACTTCAGCTGATATAGAAGCATCTTCAATAGAATTTTGAATTTTTCTAAACATATATCAAATGTATGCAAAAAGATTAATAATCAATTTAATGTTATGTTGCGCTTTAGAAAACTCATACGCAAGGAAATCTATTCAAACTTTACAAAGCGTACATTTTACCTCACTTTTATTATTGCTCCTCTGTCTGGCACTTTTGTGGAGCGCGCGATGCGGATAAGCTTGAAGCTTTAAATAAAAGAATACTTAGATTTATACTTGGAGATTACTCGTCTCCATACAACACTCTTCTCTCAAAAGTGAGCTCTACTTCTTTGTTTAACAAACGCATTCAAAATTTCCTCATTCTGTTATATAAGAGTTTGTTTTTAACTCATTTTCCTACTTATATGAAGAATATGTTTTCACTGCGGTCCTCTTCCTATGATCTTCGTGGCAACTACATTCATTCACTAAGTAAACCTAAAACAACTACCTATGGTATTAACTCCTTTTCTTACTTTTCAGCTAAGCAGTGGAATGCACTGCCGGACTTTTTTCGTACCAGTTTTTTTGCAGACTTTAAGACTAAAATACAGGATGTTACCTTCATGTAGATTCTTTTTGCCTGACATACTTAAACGTAAAATTGTGAATTGTAAATAATATTTTCTTTCCTTGCATTTAATGTATATATATATTTTCTATATAGTTTTTATGTAGTGTCAGCTCGAAGATATTAGCTTGTTAGCTACTCTAAAATTTCGAGTATAAATAAAGTTTTATGTTATGTTATGTAATAGATTGCAGTTTTCAGGTATACGTCACAGCCACTGTTTTTTCTATCCCAGAGGAACTTGTAGGCATCCGCTGGAGATGAAGATACGCGAGAGTGGCCTACATTCCGAATTCCGCGACTTATTTTAGCAGCTTCTTCCAAACTGTCTTTAATGTTTGGTCCTGAGAATGCCTGACTTCATTTCCTGGTGCAGTTGGTACTCGTCGAGCTTTTCTTTCAACTTACCTGCGATTGATCTTTTACGGGGTCGGCTTTTTTTTTCCGGATGTTTTATTTCCAAGATATTGCAATTATCGTTTAAAAAAAGGGTTCCCTAAAATTTTGGTATGAATATAAAACTAGTTCCTTTACACTGAGTCCCGAACTTTCGACCGGATCGATCAAGAAAGCTGAAACTTTCGGATGAGCAGCTACAAATTAACAAAACGGGTGTCTAAGGCATAGAGAAAACCATTTGAGGCACTTCTGATGTATTGGGAAACGGACGTTTGGTGTGCCCCTGACGGTCTCATTAATAGTGATTCTTTGCACGGATCCTGAATTAAAAACGTGACTGAAGATTACGTTTGGGTCAAGGTAAATGCCATAATCTTCCTTATTTAGCAATTATCTCAGCATTTTTAAGTTACAAAATCTGTAGATCTTCATTACTCCGCTTATTTTATTCCATCTGTTTGAGAAGCCAAATGTTCTACAGAAATGATGCTTTTAACGTTAATCCTTTCAATCGTTTTGATGCCGCATGTGATGGAAACAGTGACACCACAGACACAAAAGCAGTTGGATTCCAAAGCGATTCCATGTAACATCAACAACAACTTGTACGCTGCAGGTCCAAATAAAAAGGTTGAGGATATGATCATCGAGATGAATAGAAAACTAGACGACATTCAAAATAAGCTAAAAAATTTAACACAGAAAGAAAACAACGGTAAAGGTTAGTGCTGTTAGTCATGCCACTTTCTTTTTCAAGTCTTTTGGTGAAAGCGTGAGCGACATAAAAGGAATTGCTGCCCGGTAAGAGAGTAGAGATTTAATTGAAAAATGAGTACGATGGCATTAATTAACAAGCCTTGCATGGACCGTGTAACTTAAAAACCAGGTTGGAATGGTAGTCCTGTTCAGTTAGTCCTGTATTCTGATTGGCAAACGCAGCACAGAGTACCTAAAGGGAAACCTGTATCCAAAGTGGACTCATTATGAGCGGGCACTTTGTATGTGGTTCCTGAATCGAACTCTTCTGCATTTAGCGAAATCTTCTTTTAACCGGGTACTGGCGAAGGTTCCTACTGTGTTAGCTTGTGAATAGCTAACATCGAGTTTCTCCTAACAATACATAATCGAGAGAAACGGTATAAGAATTTAACAAATGCAAAACTGTTGTATCTCTTAACAAATTGTCTTAACTCATTCCATTAAAGGAAGTAATTAATATATGGAGGTCAGTACAGTCTAGAGACAGTTGCTCGTGGATATTCAGGTTATTCGGTTTATACGAAATTTACGAAATTGTATTGTTTCGCACAGTAAAACAAGTCTTTTCGACTGTTCAAGAACAGGAATTTGGCATTCAGGAATTTGTTTAGCTGTACTGGCCCCACTTAACGTTTCATCGTGTAACAGGATCTTTGAAATGACATTTGGCAGGTTTTCATCACCACAAAAACTGCGCTGAACTGTACAAATCTGGTGAACGTGCAAACGGTGTTTACACAATTGACCCCGATGGTACAGGTCCGTTTGATGTATTTTGTGACCAAACAACAGCTGGCGGCGGGTGGATTGTGTTCCAAAAGCGACTTGATGGCTCGGTTGATTTCTATCGCGGTTGGACAGACTACAAAGTTGGCTTCGGTAACTTGAAAGGTGAGTTTTGGCTGGGACTAGAGAAGATAAACAGGTTGTCGAAAACAGGAAACAGACTTCGAGTAGAACTGGAAGATACTACAGGCAAAGCTGTCTACGCTGAATACGATATGTTTGCAGTTACCAGTGAGAGGACTAAGTACAAGCTAAGTCTTGGAACGTACTCAGGTAAGTCTAATTTTGAGGTTAAATGTTCCTTTCTGCCTACAATCGGTGACAACAGTGTTGAGCCAGTGTGGTTAAATGGGGGCATATTTCGGAGAGCAAAACAACCTGACCCCTTTCCCCCACCCCTCCACTTAAAGTTGGGTTTAGTGCTTTATTGTTTGCTGCAGGTGGCTAATGAACAGCGGAACGGCATTCAAAAGAGGGGCTGGTAGGGAAAGCTTCAATTTTCGTTTTCGAAGTGAGTAATGGCGCGCAAAAACGACGAGCAGAAAAAAGGGAAAAGTGTCAAAATTATTAGAAACGAACAAGCATCATGGCGAAAAGGAACAATTTGTAATTTTAAGTGAATGAGGCCTACATAATAGGGAACTTAAGCAAAGACGTTTTTGAGCGACGCACGTCGACCGGAAGTGAGGTCTTCTCCCTTCTCATATGCCTTGACGCTGACAAATTTGTATTGCTAAGTTTCTCTTCTCTTATAAAGACGATTTACCCAAGATTTTCAACAGAACCACTGCCCAATGATGCAAAAAGTCCACTTCCGGTTGACGTCCGTCGCTCAAAAACGCTGTTGCTTAAGCTCCCTAATAATTAATCCTTTAAGCCCCAACATTAACACGCATCTTCTCCACACTGTTCTTTATACATTCCTTATGGCACTGCTTGAGAGAATTTTCTCTAACATCACAACATTTCATCTTTGGCGATTATTTCATTAATTCTCATGACCTGTCTGTTTGATCAGGGAGTGTTGGGAGAAATTGGATGCTGGTCACTACTGTGGCTTAAAGGGTTGAAGAAAAAGCAATAGACAATTTTAAAAAACAGATGAATGTGCGCCGAAAGCTGTCAAAGCTAATGGCTATCAAGTTGACCATTACTGCAGGAAATAAAAACTACGGTAACCTTTATAATTGCATGAGAAATTACCCTTTTTCATAAGACCATGAACTGATAAAATCATTTAACAATTAATGAATGAGGCTGAGTATCTTATTAAGAATTATGGAGATCGAGGAGGCTGTTATCCGTCGAGGCCGTAGGCCAAGGTGGATAATACCCTCCGAGATCTCCATAATTCTTCATATGATACGAAGGCCGAATTCAATAATTGTTTTATTATTCATTCAAAATAATTCCTAGTTTAAAAACATAACTAAAACATACTTACTTCCATCGATCCACCGATGTCAAGTTCATCTTCGATAGTGCATGTTTAGGGTTGTTCAGCTCCGCAAATATTCTCCAAATAGCAGATGGCGCCCTTCGAGTTGTCTTCTTGCTGTGCTTGCCATGTTTTTAGCTATTATTTTGCCTAGTTCTTACTCTTGAAACGAGTGAATTGTCCGCCATTTTTGTTTCCACAACCAATACAACTCAACCTCGTCACCAGGTCTTCCCGGTTAACGGTGCATTAACCTGCAAAAACGCTGCATTTTTGACGTCATTCCCTCGCTAAACACAAAATTCTTCCAAATTTGGTCATCAGCAACTGGTTATCGTGAATTATGCGAGTGCTTTTAGCCAATCAGAATCGGGAAAATGTTTTGAATGAATAATAATAGTTATAAAATAACTAAGATAGTACGCACGCTCTGATTGGCTGAGAGGCGTGTTTGCATGAGAGTATGTAAACATGGTTGTGGCGTCAAGATGTTTTGCTTTTCGCGCGCTAATCACGCAAGCACGAACTTGAAAAAGTTTTCAAGTTCACAACTCGACAAGTTTACTTTATTTATCCATTCGTTAGTCGGCTGAAACTTGGGAAATCGTTACAAAAAAAGTGTCAATTTTTTTTCGCTGAAGCTGACATTTTAAGCGAGAAAAGTCCGTATTTTGGAGAGCATTCTTTTTGCAAAACAAGAACTGATTACGCGTGCAAGACTTCGTGGACAAGACTTTGCTTTTCTCTTTTAATCATTGCCCTACAAAGAGTTTTGCGTTTTTCCTCGGGAAATTTATTTTATAAAAGCAATAGAAAACTTTTTTCCTGTGTGTGTTTGTTTGCAAACACGGAAAACGTTTTCTATTGCCTAATTAATAACCATTAAATATGAATTAAATGATAAATATAACATACTGAATAACGATTAAATGTTTGATAAGAAACTCATTATCTGATTTTGCTGGAAGGAACTGCTGGAGATTCTCTATCGGCTCACCGCGGTTTACCATTTACAACCCAAGATCAGGACAATGACAGACATAAAACTGTGAACTGTGCTGTTAGCCATAAAGGTGGCTGGTGGTATGGCAGTTGTCACAGTTCCAATCTGAACGGCTTGTACCTTCACGGACAACACTCGTCATACGCAGACGGTGTCAACTGGTTCGCGTGGAAAGGATACAAGTACTCGGCAAAAAGAGCAGAAATGAAGATCAGGCCACAAACGTTTTAAGCCAGTTTATATAAACTGACCACAGATATATACCATCCATCACCATTATCTCATTCACCGCATTGAGGTTCATGCCACGAAAAGGCAACTTTAACTTTAATCGGCGGCTTAAGCATCATCATCTCAATGGTCCTAATTGGCTGCGAAATTCACTGCTCGCTCCCAGTTATCTGATTGGTTAGTTTGGTTTAGTGAATCAATTAGTAAACAGTATTGGACCGTGGGAAAAAATTGGTAAAGAATTGAAGCGTAAAGGAAAATTGTAGAGGTGACTGCCTCCACGTTTCTAGCAAATTGATTGAAATGACGCAAGATCACTTCATCTTTTTGTGAGTTAATTAGCAATGGTAACAGGACTGAGTGGAGTCCAATTGGACGACAGGAAGTTCTGTTACCAATTAATCATAACTTTAACAAAATTTGTGATATAACAGGCTATTTTTTAAATCAAAACACAAGAAATTCGAAATTTGTTTTGCTAACAGTGCAAAAAAAAAAAAAAAAGCCATTTAAGCGCGCGCGTGATGGGGCGTACTGTCCAATTACTTACGCATGACGCGTACTGTTCTATTAAACTGTCCAATTAAGGCTGAAATCAGGGAAGTTGATAGCCAATCAGATTTGACAATTTTTTTTATAGTTATTATTAAGTAATAGAATTCCACATCTTAATATATGCTATAGTTAGCGCATGACAGGGTGGCTCTATACCACTGTAACAGGGCTCGGTAACTTTAACCTTTTTCTACTTACTTCAGAGAAAAAAAAGTTAGGGAAGAATAACATAAAGTTGCTAGGTGTGAAATGTATTTGTTGAAACTAGCAAAGATATAACTCCGCCAAGTCGCGGAATTTTACAGACGTTGGTATGGTGTTAATGGTGGTGGTCGTGGGGCCGGGGAAACAAGTTCGTTTTCCCCA